TTTTTTTAAAAAAATATTTTATTGATTTTTTACAGAGCGGAAGGGAGAGAGATAGAGAGTTAGAAACATCGATGAGAGAGAAACATCGATCAGCTGCCTCCTGCACATCTCCCACTGGGGATGTGCCCGCAACCCAGGTACATGCCCTTGACCGGAATCGAACCCGGGACCTTTCAGTCCGCAGGCCAACGCTCTATCCACTGAGCCAAACCGGTTTTGGCATCTCTTGTCTCTCTTAAGGGATTTTTAGTATAGGAATCAAATAAACAGTTAACCCCAGCAACTAGTATCCCAGTGAAGCACCGCTTCACTAAGACTTTTCTAGACTTATTCCCACATACTTTTGTAGAATTTAAGAAACCAGGTTGATGGTGTGCCATTGGACATGTTGGCCTTTAACTTGTTGCATATTTTTGCTTCTCTCTCTCCCACTGTGCTGGGAGTCCTGGACACTGTTTACTGTTGGTCAGCTGCCAGCTGCGTAGATCTAGTGCTGTGGACTGCCCCACCCAGTGCATCTTTTCACTGACAGTTTAGCATCAAAACAGAATGATGCAGATGTAATCCCTGATGCACATAAAAAGTTACAGTCAAGCTTCTGTGGGTGCCTTTGTAAATGGTGGTATGGAACCCAAAGAATACACACAGGCATCTCCCCCTTTGAACCATGAAGCAAGACAGAAGTTGAGGATCATTTAACCTTCACATTAGTGTGCTTAATCCACTGAGGGGTTGTTCTGACAAAGTCCAGAGTTTGTGGCAGTTTTTTATCTGGGGCTTCATCGACTTCCCTTTTTTACTTCCCTCATAAACAGCCCATCTCTTTATTTTTATTTTTTGAAATTTATCTTTATTGTTGAAAGTATTTCAGATGTTCCCTATTTCCCCCCATTGACCTCTTCCCCCTGTTCCCACTCCCTTCCCCAGCCCCCACCACACTATTGCCTGTGTCCATAGGTTATGAATATAATTCTTTAGGCTAATATCTTCCCTCCCACTTCTTCCTTCCCGCTGAAATACCTCTCATCCCCTCCTATACCCTCCCCAGACCTTCCCCGCAACGGCCCATCTCTTAGCTACTGACTGGAGCCTGTCCTGTTTTCTAAGCCTCTTTCTGTCCATGATCTATGGCTGTTCTCTCTCTCAGCCTCCGTAGCTGAGAAGTGGCCTTTGACAGCTTTTCTCCTCCAGGTTTTCTCTCCTGATGCTGAGCATGGCTTAGAGGCAGCCATCATTTCATATAGTGTGACCTCAAGCCCCATTTCTCACCTCCAAAACGAGGATAATGTAAATGCTAGAGTGCTTAACTCTTTTACCTGGGGTGTAGCAAATGTTCATGACCCTCCAATTTACAGGATGCTACAGATCTGCCAGAGACTTACGCCTCATTATTCCATCAGGTTAGGGGTTTTAGTTTGAGGACATGAGGATGTCCTTGCTGTCTGGTTAAATGAAGCCCGTAGGCTCTCCAAAGGCAAAGATTGATGCATTGTCTTTTCTTGCTTTTGGTGCCTGAGTCTTGAACTAAAGCCCTTTGATCCTCTCTTGTCCTGACTCTCTGAGTGGTGGTCCTTATTAGAGTTTCTGCTCCTGAAGCAGGCACAGGCTTGGCCGTAGACCTGGGCTTACAGCGTGGTAACTTAGAACAAGCTGTTTAACTGTGTACAGAAGGGTAATATAAAGTGCTTAACTAGCATAGGACTTAGCACAGAATAAAACAATAATAGTTAGAGTTATTACATAGAGTTTAATGAAACTAAATGGGATAGTGTCTGTAAAATGCTTCATATAATTCCTGGTCTAAATAGACACTAAATGAGTTAGCTTCCTTCCCCTTAAGGGAGTGCAGTGCATTTGGATTCTAGATGCTGTGGTTCACATCACGTAGAGAAATAGAATTTGTCCACACTGCTGAAGCATTACTTGAGACCAGGTATTCAGATCTTTGTATTTTCTGGGCCTATTTACAAGTACCTTTCTTCAACTATCTCTGCTCAGGGAGAGCCCATGAGGATTGTTTATCGAATGCGGGGGCTGCTGGGTGATGCCACAGAGGAGTTCATCGAGTCCCTGGATTCCACCACAGGTGTGGCCCTTTTCACAGATACTGCTGCATGTTGGGTTGAGGTTTGGGACCAGTCAGAGGTTCACGTCCTGGGACTTAGAGGTATTCTGGGCAAATACTCTGATTAGAATTGAGGGGAGATTACTTCTCTGAGGAAGAATACAGGTATCTGTGGCCTGATTCAGATATCTCTGGGGTTGGGGAGAAAAACACACAACCGGCCTTGGGGAAAATAATGCAATTAGCAACAAATTTGAGTGTAGATTTATTTTTAGCTTAGTTTTTTTTTTTTCATTGATGGTTGTGGTACTTATATTTTCACATATTCGAGTAAATAATTTTAATGACTTGAATCTTTAAAAAGCTATTGAGAGTGAGGTGGTGTAGTTTAATATACAGTATTGACCCCTTTTATTGGCTGTCTTTATTGGAGATACGAAAAAAGGGAAATAGCTACCAGCCCGGAAGAGGGCTGTCAGTTTTATGCCCATCTTCACCTTTTCCTCTGTGTCTGCTCGACTTCCCTTCTCCTCCAGATGAAGAAGAAGATGAAGAAGAAGTGTATAAGATGGCTGGCGTGATGGCCCAGTGTGGGGGTCTGGAATGCATGCTTAACAGATTGGCAGGGATCAAAGATTTCAAGCAGGGACGACACCTTCTAACAGTGAGTTGGAGACAGTGAGGTGGGACCAGCCTTCTGCTTTGGGAGAGACAGACTCCTATGGAAAGTAGCTTGTGGTCATTGTGCCATTTAACTCTAGAGGGCAGCATGGTGCCATGAACCAGTGCAAGCCAGTGAAGGCAACTTTCCTGAGCTCTACATCTAGGCTCCTTTTCCTCACTGCCCTCTTCCTGGCCCACTCCCCCAAAACACCAGTGTGATGGCAGCCTTTGCTAAGTCCCTTTAGTCCCTTAGGGAACCAGTGTCTGATTGTCTTTTTCTAAAAACAGTACTTGTGTCTGTTATTACTTATTATTGCTTTTTAAATAAATTTTGTAAGTAATCCTTTCATTTCTTGTAGGATTTTTGTTTGATTACTCATTGGTCTCATTAGTAAGGAAAGAGGATTTCAAAGGCAGCACAGATATTACACTATGATTTTTACCTCCAGTGGCCGTGAGAACATATATTACTGTGCCCGTGTCTTAAATGACCTACATGGTTCTGAGCTGCCACAGGCCATGAGCTTTGGAATCTTCCTGTTGACTATTAAGAGTCTTGAGTTAGTACTAGAATTTTCCCCAAGGCAACAGAGCATCATCTGTTCCACTGGGGATTGGTGTCTCTGCCAGGGTTTTAGAGATGGTGGGGATCTACCCAGCCCACAAGAGCTACTGTTGGAGAACATTGCTGTTTAAATTGCCTACCTGGTATGGGAACTCAGCCCCCTTACTATGCCCCCTTAAGGATCACTTCTCTGCTGCCCTCTGGGTTTCAGGAGGAGTACCTGCTGATTGTACATGACCTCTCTTAAGCATTCTGCTCCTGCTTGTCCACACATCTTCACTCTCAGGTGGTTTCTTGGGTATTGACTGGCTTTTCTTGTCAGGTGCTGCTGAAATTGTTCAGTTACTGTGTGAAGGTGAAAGTCAACCGGCAGCAGCTGGTCAAGCTGGAAATGAACACTCTGAATGTCATGCTGGGAACTCTAAACTTGGTAAATAAAGAGTGTGGGCTGCAAAAGATAGTCCTAAAGTCCTGGGTGGGGGAAAGACAGCTCAGTTCTGGACTCAGATGAAATGGACTGTGGCCTTTTCAAGCGCTTCATCTGTCTGTCTGGATCATTCAGGTGTCCCTTGTCCTACTTGCTCACCCCATGTGTCACCATGACACCCAAGAGCTTTTTTGTCCCTTTCCAGAATTCAGATCAGAGACAAGAGGAAGTTAGTCGTTAAAACAGTCCAGACCACACACCAGTGGAGAAGTAGTGCCACGCACCTCAGGGCAAGCAGAAAGATATGTGGAGCATCACATTTTCACTACCCACATGCTGTCCTCTCTGAGAACATGAACACACACAATCTCTGGGAAGTCAGGTCTTGAAGGACATCCTTGAGGAGCAGATCCCATCAATGAGTGGTTGTGTTGCTGTCCCCAGAGTGACTGTGTCTTCCCCTGCAGGCCCTGGTAGCTGAGCAGGAAAGCAAGGACAGTGGCGGTGCAGCTGTGGCCGAGCAGGTGCTTAGCATCATGGAGATCATTCTGGATGAGTCCAATGCTGAGCCCCTGAGTGAGGACAAGGTGAGTGAGCTCAGCCTGTGCTCTGCAGACACTGAGAACCTGCACTGTCTCATTGCCAGCAACAGGCTCACTGTGTGTGTCTCACTGTGTCACCCAAGAGTGACTGAACCCGCTCACCTATGGGAATGGCAAGGCTCAACTAATTAATGGTGACATCATTGCATTAAAGCCTAAAAGCTGTGGATTCAGAGGAAACAAAGTTGCTAGGGATATTCTTGCACTCAGAAGATGCTCATTAATGGAATTCTACATGTTCTAGCTGATAGACAGGGGCCTTAGTCCAAGCCTTCACCCCACAGTGGAGGAAACAGCCCAGAGAAATGAAGTGAGCTGTTCAGTCTAGAACCCGGGTCTCCAACTCCCAGTTCACTTTCTCTTCATTTACTGCACCATTGCTGGCCTCCATTCTTATTGATGCGAATGTTTTGGCTAGAGATACGACGAATAAATGAGTATCAGGGAACCTACATTCTCTTGAGGGAGTGGAAATTGTACTTTGATCACCTGTGACTATTAACAAAGCTATCACAGAAATTCAAAAACTGATTTATCAAGTGGAACTCACACTGTTTATTCCCTAGGTAGTGCTGAGGCAGTTCTTTTAGGGCTGCTTCTGATGGAAGTGGTACAGCCCAAGTCCTGACCCCATTAAGGGCCCTCCTATCCTCTTCCCGATTGCAGGGCAACCTCCTCCTAACCGGGGACAAAGATCAGTTGGTGATGCTCTTGGACCAGATCAACAGCACCTTCGTTCGCTCCAACCCAAGTGTGCTCCAGGGCCTGCTGCGCATCATCCCCTACCTTTCCTTCGGAGAGGTGGAGAAAATGCAGATCTTGGTGGAGCGGTTCAAACCATACTGCAGCTTTGAGAAGTATGTTGGTTGGACTTCATATGGCAAAGGGAGAGTCCCCACCAAAGCCTTGAACTAGTTCTGGGAGTCTGAGGAAGAATCACCTGAATTTTGATCAGATTTTTATGTGCCAGTCTGACGGACCTTTAAGGGGCATAATCTAATTGGGGAATCCATAGTTAAAATATATTGTGTGAAATTGGCTCTGCAGAGAAGGCGAAGTGGATGTAAGATGGAAAGGGGGTATGATAAGCTGGGGGATGGAGGAGGTAAGAGGGAGAGTGGTAGGAACCAGATCAGCTTAAGGAGTTTAGACTTGATCGTATAGACTGTTGAAGGTTGTTCAGCTTATGCTAGTCCTTTCACACCTTCAGACTCTTGGCTCTTTCCACCTAGGTATGATGAAGATCACAGTGGCGATGATAAAGTCTTCCTGGACTGCTTCTGTAAAATAGCAGCTGGCATCAAGAACAACAGCAATGGGCACCAGCTAAAGGACCTGATTCTCCAGAAGGGAATCACCCAGAATGCACTTGACTACATGAAAAAGCACATTCCCAGTGCCAAAAAGTAAGAAGTGGCTTTGGCAAAGTGACTGCTTTCCTTCCTCTTGTCCTGGTTCCTTCCTCCTCCATCATCTTGGCATAATTATTCCCCTTTGCCCTCCTTAGGGGTCTCCCTTCTCTTCTGGAAGTGACCAAGGTGACTCTCAGCCACTGCGGAGTCCTATGGAGCTCTGGGGAAAGGATGACAGCCCTTTGGTTTCTGTTTAGAGCACTCATCTCTCTCTCTGCTTCTCAGCTGAACTGGGTGGTCCTTTGTGATAATTTGTGGCACTCTTGGAGGGTCATGTTTAAACAAATCAGAATCAACAGCTGGATTCTAGGTAGCCTTTGCTTCTCTGGCCTGCTAAGAAGCCTTTCTTTGCTTTGCAGCTTGGATGCTGACATCTGGAAGAAGTTTCTGTCTCGCCCAGCCCTGCCATTTATCTTGAGGCTTCTTCGGGGGTTGGCCATGCAGCACCCTGCCACCCAGGTGAGTAGCCAGCCTGCATGTATACCTTATTCTGAAGACAGGACAGGTAGAGTGAGGGAAACATACACTGTCTTCTCATCTCCCAAGACTGAGGAAGATAACTGCCTTGATAGCCTTGAGACATGACTTGCCCTGATACCTGAGACTTCTAGAGTGGAAGACACTCTCAGAGGTCATCTGGCTCAGCTCTCTATGAGAAGGATTAAGTTCCATTTGTGATTTCCTCATTCAACTCATTCCTATGTGGGGCTTCACAGGGCAGCTGAGCAGCAGTTGGACTGTGAGTGTGACTGGCCCAAGTGTAAAACAGTTTTGTTTTCTGGCCACAGTCACGGGGACATTAGTAATATCATCACCCTGTTTTCTGCTCTGTGTCAGGCAGCTGAAAACTTTGTGCTCAGAGAGGCCCACCTGTTCCCCTCTAGCTCATTCCTGAGAGCTGCCCACGGGCCAAGGCAGCTGTTCTCACTCACAAATCCTAACTGGCCTGGGCGGGTGGCCAGGCTGGGGTTTTTAAAAATTGAACTTTTTATTTCAAGATAATTATGAATTGACATGAAGTTGTTAAAAAATAATACAGAGATGCCTGGCTGGTGTGACTCAGTGTTTGAGCATCAACCTATGAACCAGGAGGTCATGGTTAGATTCCTGGTCAGGGCACATGCCTGGGTTGTGGGCTCGATCCCCAATGTGGGGCATGCAGGAGGCAGCTGATGCATGATTCTCTCTCATCATTGATGTTTCTCTCTCTCTCTCTTCCTCTCTGAAATCAATAAAAAATACATTTTTTAAAAAAGAAAGCACACAGAGAAATCATATCTATACCCATTATCTAGTTTCTCTCAATGGTAACATCTTGAAAAATGGCCATAAATATCACAGCCAGGATGCTGATCTTGGTGCACGATTCAGGACAGTTTCAGCACCACAAGGATCCCTCCTGTTGCACTGTTATAGCCCCACCCACTTTCCTGCACTCCCACTCCTCTGACCCCCGGCAGCCACTGATCTGTTCTCCATTTCTATAGTTTTGTCATTTCAAGAATGTCATATAAATGGAATCGCACAGCATGTAACCTTTTTGGGACAGTGAATGGATTCAGCAGAGATGTAGGAGGTAGAATGAATGGAGTTACAGGCTGATTGCACCTGGGGAGAAAAGAAGCTAGATGAATCAAGAACTCTGCTCAGTTTTTGGTTTGGGCGACAGGATGAATGGTGGTTCCATGAAGGAGGTGAGCTTAGGACAGGTCTGCTGATAACCAGGCTTATCCTTAGTTACTAAACTGAATTACTTAGTTACTAAACTGCGGGTTTGAAGTGAGGTGGGCAGAATTCATTAGGTTTGATTCTCAACGTACAGTCTGTCCTCCTAACTAGAATGTAAGCTTCAGGAGGATACAGTCTTTGTTTCCCCAGCACCTAACACACTGCCTCACACACAGTAAACACCAGAGTGTTGAGTGTGGGCTACCTCACCAGAGGCAGTTGAACTATGGGCTTGGTGTTTAGGAGCTTGAGACACAAGAGGCCCTGTAATTTTGTTGAGCTGCATATTTGAAGCCATGAGAATAGATTTATGAGCTAGTGAGTGATCTGATTGAGTGCTGAGCTTTCACATTGCAAGTTGGCTTCATTGTTTTCAACTTACCGTCAAATATGTAGTAATTGTCATCAATTCACTTGTGATGTGGGTGGTGCAGAGTTCAATGAAATGCTGCTGTTCTCAGTGAGCTCACCTGGAGAGCTTTTTCAAACGACACCAGCCTTCAGTGTTCTGATGGTCTCCGACCCCAGTTCAGAGCGTGGTATAGCGCATTAATTGCCGACCTTCTCAAGCACAGGGCTTCTTGTTAATACATTTTAAGTGTTTTCTTATCTCCAGTCCCACTTGTAGTTGTACCTCTAGTATCCAGAGGTTGAGAAAACTCCTGTGCTCCTGAGTTTGGTGGCCCCAGATGAAGACCTTAACACAGTCCCTCTGAACCTCAAGGGCCTGCTCTGCTTGGTAGTCACTAAGTTCACCACTCAGGACTCATCAGGTGCTGCTTCTCCAGGGAATCTTACCTGCACCCCTTTCCCTGTGCCTGGATGCTTTGCATGTTGTCTCATTTTAATCATCCCAGGAGCCCTGGCATTACCCCCTGCTTTATAGATAGAGATGCTGACGCTAAAGAGCATAGTGATGGAGCAGAGGTCCTTGGCAGAGCCGAACCCGCCCCCATTTGTCCAAATCTCTCAAAGTTTAGAACGAAAGGATCAGATTGAAACTTGAGCAGATAACACGAGGTTGTGTACATTCCACTGGTTTTCTGAACCTTTAAGCTCCTGGGAAGAACACTTGTCTACATAACTGGAGGCCTGTGTCTCTCTGGCCCCTTCTTGGCAGGTTCTGATTGGAACTGACTCCATCACAAACCTGCATAAGCTGGAGCAGGTGTCCAGCGACGAGGGCATTGGGACCCTGGCAGAGAACCTGCTGGAGGCACTGCGGGAGCATCCTGATGTCAACAAGAAGATTGACGCCGCCCGCAGGGAGACCCGGGCTGAGAAGAAGCGCATGGCCATGGCGATGAGGCAGAAGGCTCTGGGCACCCTGGGCATGACGGTAAAGCCAGTCCCTGCGTCCCCAGTTCTTGCCACCCTGCTGAGGAGGAGGCTGTGGCACAGTGATGTGTAATTTGGGACAGAGCTGGGGTTGGGCATGGTGAAGCTGAAGGCTGGACGGAGGAAGAGGGTGTGCTAGGCCCTTCACCTTGCTAATCTTCCCAACAACCCTCAGAGCTGTGACTGTGACTGTTCTGTCCAGATGAGACTCAGATGCTAAGGGATTTTAGTTCATAAAAACAATCAAAATGGTGATGATAGCCATTGTTATCAAGGATTTACTATCTGCCAAGCACTGTGCTTATGCAACTTGTAAGATTTTATTTAAGCCTTTGTGTGGTTCTATAAGGTGGTATTATACCCATTTTCCAGATGAACTAATTGAGGCTGAGAGATGAAGTAAATAGGCCAAGGCACAAAACTAATAAGTGGTTGACAGGACTTTGAACCCCGGTCTGTGCACACGAAGGGCTCTGTGCTGTTTTCACTGTCCTGAGGCCTTGGAGGAAGCAGTAGGCCTCTGAGAGCCTCCTCCAAGCCAGCAAACTGAGTGTCAGCAGTTTTAAAACTCCCATGGGAACAGTAAATGAATCATCACGCATCAGCCCTTGCCAGCTGAGAGCTGGTATTGCTGGCACAAAGAAGGGGCTGTTTTGGTGGCAAGTGGCGGCTTGCCAGGGTTCCAGCCGGATGGTTTCTCTGCTTCAGTGGTCCTGCAGGAAGGGAATAGCAGGGAATCTGGGTCTTTACCCTCATTAGAAGCCAACTGAAGAGATTCCTTTTGATGCAGCCATCCTTTTAGTGTATGTGGAGGGTCAGCCCTGTCCTTGAGTGTCCCCGAGTTAGGGTGTGTGTGTGTGTGTGTGTGTGTGTGTGTAAATCCCCTTCTGACATACCACCTGGGGTTCCCCCAACAGACAAATGAAAAGGGCCAGGTCGTGACCAAGACGACACTCCTGAAGCAGATGGAAGAGCTGATTGAGGAGCCGGGCCTCACGTGCTGCATCTGCAGGGAGGGGTACAAGTTCCAGGTACAGCTCTGGGCCTGGGCCTGGTGGCCAGCCTGCTCGCTTGCTCTGGTGGCGGCCCTCGCCTGCAGGCCTTTTGTTCTTAGACTGGCCAAGGCTTGCTTCTTGGCCACTCTTTAAAGGCAGGAAGGCACTGCCTTCATCATCATCATGATCGTACACAACAAGCACTCACTGGATTCTGCCTTGCTAGGCCCTATGCCCAGAGCTTGATGTAATTTTATCCTTAAACTTGTTAAAAGTTCTGTTTGTGGCTGAGAGCAAAGGTCATGGGACAGAGCCAGAATTCTGGGCTTTTAAAAACATACCATGCTGTTTCCATTCAGGACACCTGGGGAGATCAGGCTCCCCCAAACTAGATTCTTACCTGAAAGGAGCAGAGCAGCAAGTGATGTGTTTGCTCCCCTAAAGGCCTAAAAGGGGCCCCCTTTCTCTCTAGCTTCGATTGACTACTTAGCACCCAAGCTATTGAGGGGCAGTACCCTGGACCACAGGCCTTTAAGTCCTGCTGTAACACAGGCTCTTTGGAGCTGCCCGATAATTTTTGAAAAGCAACCGACTTATCAAGAAGGCACTTTATTCATTTTAAAATAAATAAAACAAAAACAAAAGAAGGGCAGTTTAAATATGCATTTCTGTCTTTCCACCTGCATAGCGTCTGCTTTAGTTTGGTTGCTTCCCTCACTCCCAGTCAAGTGCTTAACCACGAGCCTGGGTGCTGGCTATCACCCCCTCTTCTGGACCGTCCCTGCCTAGGAGGGTAGGCATTCGGGTCCCTTCTGCTCTGCTTCACCTGCTTCCAAAGCCTGCGTGGAGTTTCTCCTCACCTCTCCTCCTTTTTCTGTTGTCTTGCAGCCCACAAAGGTCCTGGGCATTTATACCTTCACCAAGCGGGTAGCCCTGGAGGAGATGGAGAATAAGCCCCGGAAACAGCAGGGCTACAGCACCGTGTCCCACTTCAACATCGTGCACTACGATTGCCACCTGGCAGCCGTCAGGTAGGCCCTGGCTCTGGGGACGGCTCCCTCAGTGGGCCCCTCCCTCATCTGGGCTTCAGCTCCAGACCTCTGTTACTTCCCAGGTGTGGGCAGCTGCCAACCCTGAAGTTTTAATGCTGTTCCTTAGTCTCTGGGGAGTAGGGTGTTCTACCTTTAACCATATAGGGCAGGCTGAAGAGCCATTCTTGCCAGGAAAATACCCGTGGCTTTTGGCCCAAGGCTGGTGAAAGCAATGTTACTTACCTGAAGCAGTGAAGCCTGCATTTGCTATATCAGGGTTACACTTGGCTAATTCTGTGCGTGGAGTTCGGAGCATGGGCTAACTTCCTTCGTGTTAGCAAACCCTCTTCACTCCACTTGCCCAGGTGCCTGGTTGCCCAATTAATTCCAGCAGCTACTCATCCCTGCTCTCCTCCCATCCAGGCTGGCTCGAGGCCGGGAAGAGTGGGAAAGTGCCGCCCTGCAGAACGCCAACACGAAGTGCAATGGGCTCCTTCCGGTCTGGGGACCCCACGTCCCTGAATCAGCTTTTGCCACTTGCTTGGCAAGGTGAGTGTTGAGCATTTTCATGGTAGGAAAGGGGATTCCCAGGAAATGGGGGGAGTCATCTTTCAGCCCAGCCTGTGCTGAGACCATTTCCTGTTGCCTTCATTGGGAATCCCTGTCTCTTTACTTGCTGGCAAGGGGCTGTTCGGAACAGAGGGCACTCTGCTGAGATACTGGCACCCTCAGTGTCTGTGCACCATGGAGAATTTCTAGTTATTCACTACTCTCCACCTTTGTTGATCTAAGGACCTCAGACCTGGAATGCCTGACTTGGTCCCTGAGGCCAACATTTCCCAGAGTTCACTTCTACGGTATATGCCTCTGAGGGTTAAATAATAAAAATTAATAGCTCAGTGGCACGGGCTCCCTTGTCCTGAAATGCAGAGTAGCTGAAGCTTCTGTGAAGCCCTTACCTCTGACTGCTGCCTTGTGGAGTGGTGCCCCCCACAGGTCCTGGTTTTAAAGCTCAGGGATGAAAAGGTATTTATATAAAACTGGTTCCTGGTAGTAATAATGATGGAAGTAACAACAGGCAATATTGAAATGCTTACCATGTGCTATTGTTAGACAAACTCTACAGATGAGAAATTGTGGCATAGAGAGATTGAGTAACTTACTTGAGGTCACATAGTTAATAAGGCATAATAGATTATAATGTAAATTGACATAGAAAAAGCCTTTATTTAGAGTTTGGGGACATGATTCTTAGAATAGATTCCCTGGTCAGTCAGAAGGGATAAGGTCTACCTTTCTTATTCCAAAATGTACTTCTAGAAGTGGCCATAATATGTTCTATGACCGTGGTCTCTCAAGAAGTGGGTCCCTCAAAACCAGTGGGTTCTCATCAAAGCTTGGAGAGCATCACTTTTAGTCACAGCAGAAGTGAAACGTCCTCTTCCTGCTGGCTCAGTCCTTGCCTTCGACTCTCCCTTCATCCCGCTGTCCATTTGTGCAACCTGTGCAGCCAACAGGGAAGGGATTTCCACCAGAGACTTGCTTCTGTTTCAGCGCTTGTTCTACTCCCTCTCAGGCACAACACTTACCTCCAGGAATGCACAGGCCAGCGGGAGCCCACGTACCAGCTGAACATCCACGACATCAAGCTGCTGTTCCTGCGCTTCGCCATGGAGCAGTCGTTCAGCGCGGACACCGGCGGGGGTGGCCGCGAGAGCAACATCCACCTGATCCCGTACATCATTCACACTGTGCTTTACGTCCTGAACACGTTAGTATCTCGCATCCCACTGGGCAGCATCCAGCTGACCCAACACCTCCCATGTGTCCATATTCGCCGTAGTTAGTTCCAGAGCCAGTGTCTGACCTAAGGCAGCCTTTGCTGAAGTAGGAATGTTCATCCACAGCTTTTAGGTGACTCCCTTCTAAAACTGAGCCATCTCCCACTGTGGGCAGCCAAGGGCCCGACCTTCAGCTCAGAGAGGACAGAAACGGAGAAGCCAGACCATCAAAACTTCTACTTCCATTTGATTTATTAAATGGTAGCCTCTATTTTTCCTTACAACACTCTCTTCTCTTGGATGGGGAGGTGGTAGGTTGGAGGTGCACACAGTTACTTCAAGGTGTTGTAGGTGAGGGTTTCACATGTAGGGGATGTGGCAGAGCCAAGAACCTGTTTCATAAATGGAAACTGGACTTGCTTCCCCTGTTTTCTCTCCAGTGACTAATGCTTCTGGCAAGTGTGAGGAAAATGGAGGGAGTGTTAAGATTATCTGGGGAAGTCAACTGACAAGGAAGGCAGCCAGGGAAAATTAGATTGTATTTTTATCCAGATGTACATTAGGGGTAGTTAGGTTGATATGTGAAAGTACAATTTTAAAGAAGCACTCAGGGGTAGAGAATAATATTCTTGTATTCCACCCCAGATTTCAAAAGCAGATTTAATAGACGTTAGCTCTTAGGTTTGATTTATTTAATGGTTTCATATTTGAGGCCCCAGATCTATTGGGCAGAGAACTGACAGGCTGTGTGCAGTCACACAGGCAGCTACAGTTCCCTTTAGGCAACAGGACAATCTGTCTCTTGTTCTTGCTGGCCTTCTCTCTTCAACAATGTTATCTTCTGCTTCCCTCCTATTTCCTTGTGAGTTAAATGGCTGACCTCCAGACCACAGGTTTCATTGTTAAAAAGATGCACAGGTGGGTCTCCATCAGTGCATTACATCACCCGCTAACCTGTTTAGACTGTCAGAAGAAACACCTGCATTGCTGACAGCACAAATGTTCCCATCCCCAAACTGCTGCAGGCCTGAGCGCTAATTGCGTGTTGGTAGCCTTTGACAGAGCCCTCGGCCTTTGCAGAGACATGTCTCTGTTGGCAGCGAGGAGGTAGAGTGGACTGTTCCCCGGGGCAGAGAGCTGACCCAGGGCGGGGAGCCGGCACGATTTGCCTGGCAGAACAGAGCTGGTGATTTCAGGTGTCGCTGAATGCTAGACATTTTAACTCCTCTCAAGCTTCGTCAGTGGCGAGGGAGTTGGCTGTGTCATTATCTTGGTCCGTTCCAGGCTGACCTGGAAGCTTCACCGAGAGGCACTCTCTCATCCACAGACTGCTTCCCTAGTCACTCCACCTTGCCACGGGCTTGGCCACAGGGCGGGTGAGGGGGTGACTGCCTTTGGTGGACCATTTGTGTATGAAGGCAAGTGTGTGACACTGTGATCCAGAGCAGAGTTGAGCAGGTCTGCAATGGCAGAAGCCTCTGGTTCCCAGTTCAGGAAAATCGGGTTGAGTCTACTCACCATTCCCTCTGCGCCACTCTTCAGAGAGCAGGTGTGCTCGCACTGCCCCTGCTTCCCACAGCCCAGTTGGCCATGCTGTCTGCACACCTGGTAATTGTGATTCTGTGGCTCCTAGTGCTGTGTTTGGTTTACCTCATGGCATTAGGACAGGGCATCAGCACTCCTGGCTTGAGAGCACCATCTGGGTTATAAGGAGAGCGTGTAGCCAGAAACACCTGATCAGGGGGGCTCCGGTGCTCTCATTGCCTCGTCAGTGACCACTGCCAAGGCTTCGTCCTGGAGGGCAGAGAGAGTTATTAACTAATGCTGGGCAGGCTCTGGGCCAGGCGGCCTGGGTTCAAAGCCAATTCTTTCACGCCCCAGTGTGTGACTTTGGGCAAAATACTTTCTCTGCGGTAGTTCTGTGAGACAGGGATAGTGCTGGTGCCTGTTTCAGGGTTATTGTGAGGGTGTCCACATGAAGCTCTTAGAATGGTTCCTGGCGTTAAAGTTCATGATCATCATAGTCCCTGCAGCTTAGGCAAGATTTGGAACAAGAAGTGGCGCTTGCCTGGAAGAAGCTGTTCTATTGAAGGGGAGAGGGCACAGACACATAGGGAAACAAACAACACAGCGAGCCGTGGAAAGCAGTGGTGCAGATGGAGTGTGAACAACGTGGCTGTAATAAGACCACACTGCGTCAGGGAGTGCAAAAGGCGAGCTCAGAGCCAGAGATTCAGGATTCACATTGGCTCCATCACCTACTGCTTGGTGACCTTGGGCAAATCACCATGGTAACAAGGTGCTGTTACCTTCCAGGGTTCTGAGGTCACTGGTGGTGGACTGTTTGTGAAGGTGCTCGACCTGACCCGCCGGGCGCTCAAGCCAGCAGTTGTTTGGAATTATGTCAGACCTGAGCTGGGGGTGGGGAGGGGCCAAGGAAGATGCTACCAAGAGGGGCTTGGAAGGGAAGCAGCAGCACTTGGAGAGGGGAGAGGGGACAGGGGTGTGTGTGGCCTGTGATCCAAGCGTTCAGGACACCCAAGAGAAGAGGAGAAATTGAACACACCCTCCTCCCCTGTTGCTGCTGGTCCCTGGCACCCGCCTTGGTTTCATCGTGCTCTTTTGTTCTAGAACCCGAGCAACTTCCCGAGAGGAGAAGAACCTCCAGGGCTTTCTGGAGCAGCCCAAGGAGAAGTGGGTGGAGAGTGCCTTTGAAGTGGACGGGCCCCACTATTTCACAGTCCTGGCCCTCCACATCCTGCCCCCCGAGAGGTGGAGAGCCATGCGTGTGGAAATCCTGCGGAGGCTGCTGGTGACCTCTCACGCCCGGGCAGTGGCTCCAGGAGGAGCCACCAGGTTAGTACCTGCTTCAGGGAGCCGCTCCCTGCCCTGTTGCCTGGACGGTATATTTCCAGTGAGTGAAGACTGCCAGGCAATGTGTGTGCGCTAAGGGAAGGCATGCTCATTTGACTCAGTCATTGGTCCTGACCCCTCTCCGTCTGTGACCCCAAGTCTAGGCCCGATGGCTGGCAGGTGCCTGCCCACCTTGGGTCTGGTGTTCAGCCACTAAAGAGGCAGAGCCAGGCATATCTCTGTGCAAAATTTCTAGAGGAAGCCAGCCAGTCACGGGATGAGGAGGAGAATTTGGGCCTCCGGGGCTCAGACAGGTGACAGGCTTCCCAGGCGGCTGGTCTGGCATAAACTAGGAAAGCCTCCGCATGGCTGCAGTTGGGGAGTTTCTTTTCTGATCATTAAAAGCTTGTCATCTCCCTCCTTGGTCGTGTTCCTGTCCTGACCTTGCCATGTTCCACAGCTCTTCTTTCTCTCCTGTTAATGTGGGCACCTCCCAAAGCAGGAAGTGGTCTTTGTTTTCATGACCTTGTGCTGTGATTTGGGTTACATGGGAGGTGTCCTGAGAGAAACATTTCCAAGGAAGCCCTTGAGATGCCCACATGGATTGCCCCACCCTCAGTGGACTCCGTGGGCACCACTCTTGGCTCTCAGTGGCTTGTGCAGTCTCTGCCTGCCCTGTGCTGCAGAGTAGGGGCGAGTGTGTCAGCTTGCTTCTGCCACTGGAGGAAAATCTTCCCTTCTGGGCGGTCTGTCTTTGGCAGTTTGCTTTTGCTGGATCCGAGGGAACATTTCCACATTTGTAGGCCGAGGGGGACCTTCAGGCCCCTGACAGTGACAGGCCAAGTGGAAACAGCCCGGTGCCTGAATTGGCACACTTGGTATCTTTACTTCCAACAGCTCTGATTTACCAAGGGTTGCTAGTCAGGCCTCACGCCCGCAGGGAGGCTGAGTTGGAGCTCTGTTGAGTCAGGCCAGCATCAGCTTCTTGTTGTGGAGCAGAAGGGGCGAGTCTTGTTAGATTCCTATCTAACCCCTGCCCCCATTCCAGGCATATCACTTCCAGTGTTCCCCGGGAGACCGAAGCATTCATAGTTAACTAGCCGCCAGAATCACAAGTCAGATCTGGCGGATACCAAGTTGTTGATAAGCCAGGCTGGCCTGCTTCCCTAGCACATAAAGTGGCATTTACTGGGCACAAGCTCTCAATGGCAGGTGTGAAATCTGAGCCCATAGGAGCTGTTTTGCTTTCAATTAGGAGACTGGAATTCATTACTGTCCCAGGCGGTTAAGGAAAAGCCGATTTGGTCACAGCTTAATTAGGCAATCCAGTGCGAGCTATACTCAGGAGTTGCCATTTTCTCTATAGCAGTTTAGTCACCTTTACTAATCAGCCTTAAATAATTAAGTTGGGCAGGGTTATTCAAGATTCCTGCTTACCAAGGCAAAACAGTCACAGAGAAGGACCAGACTTGGTGTGATGTGGGGGCGTGAGCGGGGTGCTCCTGAAACAGACTGGGGGAGGAGCTGGGCATTAGCACAGTATTGAGACACCCTCCGGGGAGAGGCCTCGGCTGGGAGGATTTAGAGGGTGTCATCTTGCTGGCTGGGGCAGTGTCACTGGCGCAGGCTCTGTTCATTATGGAGTGGGAGGCAGTGGCAGACACACAAGAATGTGGCTCTAGGCATCTGCACAAGATGGTTGACCTCTTCTGCATGTTTTACATTCGAAGAGAAAGGTCCTCTGCCTGGGACTTGCAAGTGCTTAAGCCTAGGACTTTCTCTTCATGTTGTTTACAGAGAAATGGGTCATCGGCCTCATCCGCAGGCCCACCTCACAGTGGTTTTCCCTTTAGGCTGTGGCATCCTCAAGCTGGCAGGCAAGGGAGAAAGTGCATCGGGTGGAGGGAAGGTTCAGGAAGCATATTTCAGCAAATGGAATTCTCCTTTTATTATTACTTTACTTTTAAAGAATTTATATTTACCGACTCTTAAGTATGATGGCCTGTCCCATGGGACACTGTCCCTTTACCTGAGGCCCATATGCTATAGTTTTAGCTTCTATGATAAGTAACATCTGTGCTTGTCTGACTTTTATGATTCTTACACACACACACACACACACACACACACACACACTCTAATACTGAATTCTAGTCCCTTTAGTTATGGACTCTGTACATCGTGTTCTGAGGTATATAGCATCCCCATCACAAGGGTTCAACTACCCTTTACTTACTACAGACGTGAAACCAGTTTGCAGACAATACCTTTTGTAGATTTGGGTGCTGGAAACCAATTCTAGCCCCGATACGTCACTCCCTCTGCAGAGAGGAGTCTAGTCTTTCCGTGTTTCACAGTGGCTGCACCTGGGTAACCATTCCTCACCGGCAGTGCCTGCCGAGGAGGCAGTGGACGTGGTCGCACATAGCCGCATGTTCTGAGGGACAGGCTGGTCCTTAATCCTCTGCTGCATCATGGGATTAAGTAGGGGCAGGCGATACTTGGTAGAAACTAAGGTGTGGCGAGCAGCTCGCTCAGGATTATCCCGGCATTGGGAGGTGTTGGGCGGTTGTGTCCTCCATCCTGGATGTTACCATTGCTCATCGCCACTTTTCCACCAGCTCGCCGCTTTCAACACAGCACGTGTTGACAAATTGCTGTGTGTGGTGGCTTTAGGTCTGCTGACTAACAGTTCTAGACTGAGGAGGGCCTTGTTTCCTACCTCATCTGCTAGGTCCCATCAAGGCTGGAGCTCATGGGGGTTGCACACAGCAACATGTGAGTCCTTGGCCTCTCCTTCAGGCAGTCGCCTTTCGGTTGTCATGTCGCAACTGTGTCTCCCTTTCTTCTGATTTACCCTGATTTGGAAGACAGTCCGTGCTAAAGCTGACTATTTCAGGGAACGTTTTTGTAGTAAATAAACCACTGGCTTCAGAAGGTCTTGCCCACTGAGACAGACAGTGGCTAGAACTGAGTGACCCCCAGATTACTGTGACTCTCCCCTTGCTCCCCCCTGCTCTGCCCTGTCCTGTGAGGACCCTTCCAGGGCCTGCATGACATGCAGTGGGATGTTCTTTCCAGGCTGACGGACAAGACAGTGAAGGACTACTCTGCCTATCGCTCCTCCCTTCTCTTCTGGGCCCTCGTCGATCTCATTTACAACATGTTTAAGGTAAGGATGCCATTGGAGGCTCAGCAGTGTCTGAGTGTCTGCCAGGGTGTCAGTTGATGTGTTGCTGGCTCTGACCCTGCCTCAGCCGACAGGTGGCTGCTCCTGCACCGGCCTCTCCCAAGAAACCAGCGCACCCACTGTGGGAGGGATTTACACCAGCCTAGACCCTTGCGTGTCTGTGCTCACTCCACCACCTGGTCTGGGGCCTGCTGTAGACCTGCTTCTGCAGGAAAATCTTCCTCCCAAGTCACCTTTGTGTGCTCTTGTCCCCCCAGTTTCGATAACTCCGTTGCCCTGTTGAGTATGACTTCTTCCAGCCCAGCTTACACTCCTCTCTGCCTGGAAGGAATCAGGGTTTGGGTGGCTCCTTTCATAATCTGAACGAAACAGCTCAATTAAGGCATCTTGATGAGTCTGTTTTCTTTGGGAAATGCAGGTGTGACGTGTGGGGAGGAAAGAATGCAGTCGCTTGTTGTAGCTTGTAGGTTCAAGTGACCCAGCGTAATAAAGGGGCTGTGAGAGGAGTGAAGTGAAGTTTATTGTTCCTGGCAGCAAAACACATCCTCCAGGGAAAACTCTGATGTACACAGGAGGTCTCTCCTTTCACGGGCTGACGTGGCTGCCTGACTTGAGGCATGAAGTCATCCCCTCTCACCCCCCGGCCTGTCTCCTGTTGGTTCTTGTAGAAGGTGCCTACCAGCAACACGGAGGGAGGCTGGTCCTGCTCCCTGGCGGAATACATCCGCCACAACGACATGCCTATCTGCGAAGCTGCTGACAAAGTCCTGAAGACCTTCCAGGAGGAGTTCATGCCAGTGGAGACCTTCTTGGAGTTCCTCGACGTGGCTGGTCAGTGTCAAGGTTCTGTCTCTCAAAAGATCTTCTGCAGCAAAACTGGTTTGTCTTAGTGGGGCTGGCCATAGCTTATATCTTCACATGTCAGATAACACAGGTGAGAACTCGCCTGTCGGCCACTAAAAGATCTGGAAGCACTGATAATGAGAGCAGCAGCTCTGCACTGGGCTGCCCGCTGCATTTCCCTGTCTGCAAGGCAGCCCTGGGTGAGGTAGGCCTGTGGTCATCCCCACTTTGCAGAGGGGGTAACAGAGGCGCTGGAGATTAACTGCGTCTACAGTTAATCTGTGCTGCACATTGGTAGAGCCCCCTTGTTATTCCTGGCTTTTCCTGACAGTTCAGGGAAAGACCGTGGAGCTTCCCTGTCTTTCTCCTGCCTCTGATGTCACAGCTGCCCCTGGGGAGATGCAGAAAAGTTCAACTCTGATTCTTAAATGGTGATCATCAAAACACCAGAGCAAAGAGCATCTGTGACTGTAAGAATAGGGCAACACTTTGAGCTCTTGTCATATGAGACATCCTCAGACAGTCCTTATCCCTCAGCTAGTAAACGTGAAGTTCATTGTCTTTCCTGTGTACAGAATCCTTATACAATAGACATGTATTTTAATTGCACATACATTAAAAGTTGCTTGGATTTCATAACCAAGCATCAGGTGACCACAGGGGGAGGTGACGTGGGCCGCTCCCTGGGGAAATACACCTCAGATCACAGATCTTGGTGCCCTCTCGGGCTGTGGGCGCTGTTGCCTTACAGCCCTTGCCACTGCTGTCTGTCCAGTGTAGGGCTCCCGGGGCCGAAGCAGAGGGTCCACACCAGCCTGACTCTCGTGAGCTTATGTTATTTTCCCCTGACGTTCATTGTGGGAATGCTGTGACGTGTACAGAAGCGGGGAAACATTTCCCCGATCCCATTGATATTTTTCTGTTTGTCTTTGTCCTCTGGGAACTAAACTCTCAAGGGTTTGGAATGATGCTCTGTGTGAATTTCTCTTTCCTCCCAGCTCGGCCCCAACTGATGGAGTTCCCCTAAAGCAGTGGTTCTCACCTTCCTAATGCCGCGACCCTTTAATACAGTTCCTCACGTTGTGGTAACCTCCAAACATAAAATTATTTTCGTTGCTACTTCATAACTGTAATTTTGCTACTGTTATGAATCGTAATGTAAATATCTTGATATGCAGGATGTATTTTCATTGTTCGCGACCCACAGGTTGAGAACCGCTGCCCTAAAGCCTAGGGCTTGCATTTTGTCCTTTGCGGTGGCCTTGGTGGGAGCTGTGCACTGGGATGGCCTTTGTGGGTGCCCTCCGTTATCAGAGGTCACGTGCTAGCCCTCCTACCCGAGGTTCCTTTTGTTAACTTCACCAGGTGCTCCCACCTGCATCCTCCAGCCTTGACTTCCTACCTTAGCCACTCTCCCTGCCTTCTTCCCAGGAAGTGACTCCTACAGATACGAGGTAGCCTATGTATTTGTATCCTCGGGGCCGAGCACTGTGTTTGTCACCCAGGGGTCTGGTGAATGTACTAGTAAACCAAGACTGTCAGTGTGAACGTAAGAGTCTGAATAAGAGGAGGGGGTGGGCCAGGCAAGGAAGGTGGTCAGCTCAGTTCAGGGCTTTGCATCATCCCCGGGACTGATGGCAGCACCGCAGCCCGAAGCAGGGGAGTGCAGGGAGGCTCTGGCCTTCACTCGGAGGTCCTGTTTTCACAGTGTGACATCATTACTTTGTTTAAACTGGTAGAAAATCTCAGAACATTAGGCATACTCTATTGAATTCAAGGACAGAAACACCTCCCAAAACCAACATGAGATGGTGCCACCCTTCCCTGCATTGCGCAGAGCTGGGGAGAGGATTCCCGTTTGCATGCTGCCGGGAGGGAGCGGCAGGGGCAGCGGGGGACCTGATGCTGATTGAGCACCTTCTGTCACTGGCACTTCCACATACATGCCTGACGTCATCCCCACAGTGATGAAGCAGGACTCGTCACTGTCCCTGTGTGATAGTCGAAGGAACGGAGGTGCTGAGCATAGGCAGCCTGCTCAAGGCCCGGGGCTGGTGGCTAAAGCGCCGATGAGCCCGGGCCTGTCCCCTTCTCGGTCCTCCGGCCCTCCAGGGCGGTGGTGTGCACCTTTCCCAGTCCAGGTCCTTTTGAGAATGCAGGGAGGGCTGTGGATACCTCCTTTCCATTTACACTGTGGTCCACGGACCAGGCTTAGAACCGCTCCAGGGAGATGGTGGGCCAGCCTCTGCCCCTGTGCCACCCTCAGACAAACAGCCTCCTCTTCCAGAACACGGCGCCGTGACTCTCGCCCCATTCATGGCCAAGCCTCCAGCCGCAGCTGTCAGAACTTGTTGGAGTACAGTGTGTTCTCTTCGAGGATGCGGCAGCCATGACTCATGGGCTGGGGCCATGCGGTCCTGCTCCTAACAGCCTCTGCCTCTGTTTCCAGGCCTCCTATCAGAAATCACCGACCCAGAGAGCTTCCTGAAGGACCTGTTGAACTCAGTCCCCTGACGGCCCCGGAACCGCTGCTGACCCTCTGAGCTGGCTGGCCTCCGCCCTCTGTGTTCTTCCCTCCTGTGCATCGATCCCCACAGGACGCTACACCAGTACCCCCCTCCTCCCTCCCTCATCTTTCTCGGAGTGGCTTGGGGTTTTTAGGCTTCCTGTTTTATCTTGTGTGTGTGGTGCACTAGCTATGAAGTTGTTTGTAACCCGAGCCACGGAAGGACTTGTACATACCTAGGAGCCATGAGTTGTCCTGGCCAACTTAATACTTGAGTGTGCACATCTTGAGAAATAAACGAATGACTTAATACACATTGAAAAAGAAGGTGTTGGCTGCTGCTTAAACCCGTCCTTGGTGTCACGGGCCACACTTTCCTTGGCTGCCCAGCCCTTCCGATGTCAGTACAGGAAGACGGGCCTGGCAGAGTCGCCATTTCTGGGCCTCTTGTCGGCATCAAACGGAGCCTGTCTGTTTCCAGCCAGCAAGTCAGGGCACCGCATTTGATGAATATGATCTTTCCTAAAACAAACCCCTTGGCCTTTCTTAATGTTTTGGCCTTAAGAGCTGGAACCCAAAGACACATGGAGCCGGTGGTTTTCTAGTCCTCGGCAGAGGGCAGGCCCCGTAGGGCACTAGGCTTTCTGCAACAAGCGCATTGACACTCCCCTGCCCACGGCAAATCGGGGATCCTTGGGCGACTTCTCTTCTGGGTCGCAGCTTAGGAGAGGGCCTGGGGTAGACTTAAAGTCAGAACAATGAGCAGCTGCGCTTTTCTGCACTTCCCTCTGCCGGGCCCAGTGTGTGCGGTTATTTCTAGCCTCTCTGACAGCCCTTCAGGAAAGAGCCAGTGTCGCTTGCCAGGGGCTGCCCACCGGGCTGCCAGGGCGGCAGGTTTGTGCCGCTGACGCCGTGTCCTCAAGCACTGTGGCTCCTGTCCCTGGGGCCTCAGGACCTGCCTCCCCAGCTCCTGGGCAGCGTTCCTCTCTAGTGAAGCAGCGAGGCTGACCCAGATGGCCCCGGGAGGAAGAGCTCACCAGTGCCGTCTCCTCACCTCCGTGACTGCTCTGCCGCTGCTCCTCCAGGGACAGACTCCCCTGTCTTGATGTCCAGTGTATGTGGCTCCATCCTCAGGCCAGACCATGTGGGACAGGAGGTTCCTTCGGGCCCATTTCGGAGATTTCCACAGCCAGGACCTCGGGCCTCTTCCCAGAGCCTCTGATGAAGTCGCCACAGGCAGGCATGAGTGCCGTGCTTGGGGCCCACCCAGAGAGACGAAAAGCGTTTGTTGCAAGAGCCCCGCTGGCAGCCCTGGCAGACAAGCGTGTGTGATTGTGTGCACAAGTGCACATTGGCATTGGCGCTGGCATTGCTGGGGCGATGGGCTTCTGAGGGACAGACTTGGCTGAAAAGGGCACAGCATCGCCCAAGCCGTGTCAGGTGCTCACTTCGTTCGGCTCCATGGCCTCCTGTATGCAGTCTCCGTGCCTGTAAGTGGGAAGTTGTGTCCACGGGGTAGGGTGGTTGCCAGGCTTACATGAGATTATCTGCCTGCTATGTAGTAAAAAAGTGGCTGCTCTTACCATTAATGAATTCACTTTCAGTCTACAAGATTCTGACTCTTTCCTTTACCAAAGCTCCATGTCTCCGTGAGGTCCAGGTGTGTCTGGAGGAGGCGGATGAAGGATTTGGTCTCAGGGACCCTGACTTCATACACCGAATAGCAAGTTGATGCCCTCTTGCGGGCCCCTCGTCTGAGGGTCTCCCTGAGGGGCCATTGCAGGTACACGTAGCGGAGTGGCTGTTATATAACATCCTGGTAGCGAATAAACTGGCAGCTTCTGGGACGGCGAAGGGCGCGGGGGAGGTGCGGGGTGAGCAGCGTTACACCTGCTTACCGGGTGCCGGCTTGCTGTCCGTGTGGCACCATTATAGGCTGAGCTGTGTTCGAAGGGACACTTAGGGGCACTGGTGTTGACGTGGCGCCTTCGGGAGCTTAACTGTGGCCTGGTGCTCATGCAAGGCGTTCACTTCTTTTTTTTCCTCTGTCCTTCATTTCTTGCAAAGTCCTCAGAGAAATTTGGCCCCAACCCAAGTCATCAAGCCTCGTGTTTTCACTGTCCCAGCTTCCCAGTGCTGCAGTCCCTGACAGACGTGCAGGCAGGGGGGACTCTGAGCCCAGGGCTGGCACAGCCGCCCTGAAGGACACCAGGCAAAACTCAGTCCCTTCTGTCCTGAGCCGTCTAATCCCTTCTTGGGTTCCTGTCTTTCTCAACAGGCGCCCCCAGCGGGGAGTTGAGAGGGTTCCAGACTGAACTATGCCTGCTGATTGATGGCTGCAGTGTTTAAGCCCCCCAGTCTGCATTCAGCTGGAAGGCTGGCGCAGAGATGCCACCGCCTTCCCCCTGGAACGCTGAAGCCTCGTGTGCCTCGGCTTTCTCGGTCTCTCCTGGAGCCAGCTTCTGAGTTCAGTCTCTATCAGGAGGCCCCCATGAGGCCCCTCACCCCCAGTTTTGTTTGCTACGACACCAGGGTCTGCGCTGGGTTCTTTACGCTTATTTCTCGCATCGACCCTGAAGCTAGGTGGTGGTGTTCCCACCTTCAGACGAGGAAAGGGCCCCAGAGGAAGGGACCTGCCTGCCGGGAGCCGGGCACTGAGGGACAGCTCCACTCACCACCCCACTCGCGTCTTCAGTGTCTGCCTGGCGCAGGTGCCCCGCTGAGTGTGAGTGCACAGCAGGGCTTCCACAGTCCGTCCTGTGGAGCTGAGATTCCCATGAGGGGCAAAGGCAGAAAGCGTGCCTGTCCCAGACGAAGCAGACCCATCACGTGAGCTGACTTAGCCCTCTGTTGACCACCAGATGCGGGCATTGTGGTGCTGGGGATGCCCCAGGCTCTGGAGGGGCCCAGCGCTGCTGTGGGCCGAGGGCAAGTCTCCCCACCTGCCTGTGAGGGTGGGAGTGAGTGAGCTAACATGGGAGAACATCCTAGAATTGGGCAGGGCCTGGGCCGTCCGCTGTGGCTCCAGTGGCCAGTGTGGACGTGTTCCCGTGGAGAGGAACCGCAGAGTGGCTGAGGGGAGGAGTCGCCTCGCCTCACCTCCCGCTGTCAGGACAGGCGTTCAGCTGCGGCCCGTGCACGCCCCCCCACTCCTGCGCACATACACACATGGCCCAGGCACATGCTTGCCGCACTCGCACGGAGTCCGTTGCATGGTGATGCTTGTTTGTTCCCTGCGGTTATTTCTGTCTCTGCTGCTCCATGGTCCCCACCCTGGGGGCTACTCCCTCTCCTGCCCATCCTTGTCTCTTGTCCCATCTCGGAGCCTGGCCCAGGCTTGTGTGCTGCCAACTCGCCCCCTTGGCTCCCGGACAAGCCTGGAGTGGCTGCAAGGCGTGTCCAAGTGCAGACCTGGCTCCTGCAGCTCAGGGTGTGGGGACCTCACCCCCCACTCCCCCTCTAGAGCACTAGGGCTCAGCCTGGGAGGAGTCTGTGCCGAGGACCCCGGGGCTGCAGCAGCCAATGCCCCACCCCGTGCCCTTTGCTGATTTCTGAGCTTTGGGGTACACTCTGACCCCATTGTTCTAGGGCTGGGACAGTGCAGTGCAGAGAGAAGGAAGGACTTACAGGGTCCCCAACTCGCATATCCCATATCCCAGGCCAACAGGCTCCGGGCACAGAGGCTTGGGGCCCTCCAGGCCTGTCCCCTGAGCCTGTGAATTTCCAGGTCATGGCTGATACTGATGAGAGGAAAGGGGGGGAACAGGGATAGGCGTTGGGGGGGGGGCTCTTTTGGGAGAGAAAGTGGCAGGTGGAGTTGGTACAGGCCCAGCATCTCTGCCCACTCACCTGGTCCACACTGGGCTCTCACAGTCTTCTAGGTCTCTGGCCACTGTCCATGCGCCCCTGACCTTCAGGGGCCATGGGAACTGGCAGTGCGGGCTGGTTCTCTTCATGGTGCAGGACACCCGTGAGCTTTCCATTTGCTAACTCCGCAGCCCTCGCTCAGGTGGTCGTTGAACACACACATTTAACCAAACTGGCCCTGACTTGTGGAAGCCTCTCCACGTCTGTGGGAGAGGCAGGACCCACGTGCACGTCCCCACTGTGGGGGCCCAGGGAGCAGCAGGTGCTCCTGAAAGTTGGGGAGAGGCTGGCGTGTTTGGGGACCACGGTCAACAGGCCTGGAGTGAGGGGAGGGGGCATGGGGACTAGTAAAGGAGCTCGTCCGTGCGCGAGAGGAACATGCCTCGTCGGGTTAACCAAGGTGCTTGCGCAGCACCTGGCACAGAGGCGGCCACGGAAACGTGAGCTGGAGGGGATGAGTGACTCACCCCAGAGGGGCTTTCCCGGAAGTGGTTTGGGCTCCATCTGAGGAAAAGGCAGCTGACGCAGAGCTCCTGCAGTGACAAGAGCTGTTTGGAGGTAGTGAGCCTTCTGTCGCTGGAGGCATCCAGGCGGATGCCGCACGGGGTGGTGCTGGGCAGCAGGGGCAAGTCAAGGGCTTTGAGCCAGAGGTCCTGGTTCTAACGCTGCCTCATCCATGCTGGGGCCTTGGCAAGCTGCTTCCCCTGGCAACTTGGGGGAGCCCCCAGGAAAGGCGGTGAGCGGGGCTGCCTCACAGGGTAAGGGTGGCCATGCTCCCACAGTGCCCAGCTCGACGTGGGTGCCTAACAGGTGTGGGTCCTGAGACGCGCCTCCCTGATGTGGGAACGGAGGCTTCTGACGAGCCTTTCGGGTCCTGCCAGGAGATGCCCAGTCCCCTCCCCGGTACCCTGCCCCCCAGGTGGGGCTGGCTGTGGTCAGAGTGTCCACAGGGAACCTGAGGGGAGGCAGTGGGCAGAGGAGAGCTCGTCCCCCTCCCCAGCGTGTCCCCAGCACCTCCAGAGGGCCTTGTAGGGCCTGGAGCCTGGGCTGTGGTGTTCTCTCTGCCAGTGACGCCAAGGAAGCGGTGAACCCCATGGGCAGGTGGGGCTCAGCCCCCGCCAGGCTCCCTCAGTGCTGCGTGTGTGCTCTGGGCAGCTCCCAGCTGGGACAGCTCTCAGGACAGGACACATGTGTGCAGGGATGTTCTCACTTCAAATCCTGGAGGCGGGAAGGGGTCCTGCGGGTGGAGGGTGCATGGAGAGCTGTGCATTAGCCACTTGGGGGGAAACTGAGACCCACAGAGGTAGGGAGTGTCAGGCTCCTGGGCATCAGGCACCTCGGGGCACGCAGCCTCACCGAGGAGGCCCCAGGGTGTTCAGTCCTCACGGCTGCCCTGAGGCCGGTGCTGGCATTATCCCATTGCACAGATGAGGACACTGAGGCAAAGCAAGGATTCG